CCCCAAAACCCCAAAACCCCAAAACCCCAAAACCCCAAAAAATCTATTGGATATTGAAACCTAAATTTCAAGTACTTTACTCTTGACTCTCTTCATCTTGTTGTAAATGTTCAGTGACTTGAAAATCCTCATAGTTTCTAAAGAATTAATTATCAAAGTACTCGTCTCCGAATGCTAGGTAGACTCCTTGACAGTTGTTTAACCTTAGCTTGTCTGATTCCCCCTTATATATAAGGAAATAACTTACTTCTTCCTTGTATTTATGTAAGAGTCCGATGATGTCACAGTAGTTTAAGCTTATTTTACTGTGAGAGACTACTAACACTTGTTGTTCTAAAGAATTTTGGCAAAGTTTTACCCTCACTAAGGTCAGAGATTATGTTTCAAACCTGCTCTTTGAACTTCTCTAGTCTTGATTTGACGTTATTTGATTTTTCATAGCTGCTCTTAGTAAACTTCTTGCTCAAGAAATTAATCAAAGAATCTTCAGGATTAGCTTTCAAATGCATTAAGATATCTACAGGGAATCTAGTGTCTTACCTTTCTGCATCTTTTGGCTAAAAAGGTGCAAATAGTAGTTCTTTGGAGAAATGAACACCTCAGTTAAAGCCTCCAGAGACTCCATTTCTTTGGGTTTCTTTTTACTAAGATTCAATGACTTTCTATCAAAAATATTAAACTTTGGTTGCTTACATTTCCTTAGACCAGTCTCTGAAGGTTTGGAGCTCAGAGTCAGCAACAGAGATTTCTACTTGGTACTTCTCTTCGTACTCTTTTTGAATTTCTTCAAGACTGGCACTGGGGACATCCATAAATCCTTCACATTGGGAGATAATGAAGGGGCTGATGATAAACTTAATGTGTTCAAAATTTGAATGAGACTTCATCAGCTCCATACAAGTAGACATTGTTCTTCTGAGAGGAGAAACCATAACAACATTGATATTCTCAGTGCTCAATCTATCAGCAAGTTTCTCTATCTGAGGATAGCCATCAGGATGTAGCGGAGAGTCAATATAGGTAGGATCTGCCTTTATGCTCTTGAGCTTATTTCGGATCCTTAGATTCCTCCCCTCTGCACTTTCTTTTATCCACATTGGCTTTGCAGAGAGCATGCCTGATGTAAATAATCCTCTTTGACGATTGATTGGCTAATTCCATTACTATTAAATTACAGAAAATGGGGTTTTGGGGTTTTGGGGTTTTGGGGTTTTGGGGTTTTGGGG